GAAAAAATAAGAACCAAGATGCATTATGTAAAGGTACAATTCCCAGTGAGAAATGTAATTGTGTTGTATACCTACAATGTACCAATAAAAGAATTTTTAAAAAATAAAAATTAAAATTTAATAAATCACAATCTCACTTATATCCAGTGAGAAAATAAAATATGTAAGAAAATAAAATTTCTCTTTCTTTCTTTCTTTCTTTCTTTCTTTCTTTCTTTCTTTCTTTTGTTTTTTGAGACAAGGTCTCACTGTATATTTCAAGCTGGCCTTGAACTCACTATGCAGTCCAGGCTGGCCTTGAACTCTAAGCAACCCTCCTGCCTCAGTTTCCCAGGGGCTAGGATTACAGGTGTGCACCACCACGCCCAGCTAAGAAAATAAGCTTTAAAATGATGCTAAAACCTGTACAAATATATACCTATCGGAGAGAAATTTTAACACTCAATTCACTGTTTAAGGTTAAATTATATAACACTTTCGGAAAACTATAAATAATGCAAGGCGTGTGTTAACCTCTTTCAAGTGCATTTTCATGTTAATTTCAGTTGGTTGTGATCTAAATCATAATGCAATCAGAATATATTAAAACTGGAAGTATTTTCTAAGTAACCTAGATAGCCAAACAAATGCAGAATTAAGCACAATATTATTTTTATGAGACAGATTGCTCAGATTGGGGGAAAACACTGTTTTTAGTTAGGTTATATGAAAAGTTTATTATATAACAGCTGGGCATAATATTAAGTATCCCAGGGATTCTGAAGAGCAGTTTGGCATCAGAATCATAGAATGTTGTTCCTCCTTTAACTCAGGAAGTTCAGTCCTGGTATCTATTTTGGAAATAGTCACAGATTTAAGCTCCAGGCATGGTAAGAGCAATGCTGGAGGTAGTGTTTAATGTTGAGAACAACTACAGTCTCTGGTAGGCAAAATAAATCCTCGTACATCTACAGTGATGGTAAATTTAAATACTTTAGAAGAATGTTTGCTGTTGGCAAGTGAAAATTTCCAGTTTTACATTATGTTCAGTTTTGATTGCGTTTTCCCAAAAAAACATATGCATAACCAGCTCTGGAAAGAAACATACCATAGTAGAGACAGTGCCTCTCATGGGGCTCTGCAACACCACACTGTCATGTTTCTCTTGTTCATTGTTTGCTTGCAGAAACCTGTGTTCCTTCTCTGGTAACAAAAGTTTAGGTCACCGCTATGATTTTACATGTGAGGAAGCCAGCGCCGCTAGACGTCAGATGTTTCAGTTGATGAATAGGAGGCTTTATTAGGTAGAGCCCAGCTCTCGACTTATAGCTGGTTTCTCTTTTTGAAACAACACCCTGGTCCGTCCCTAACACTGGGGCAGGTTACAGGGTACCGGTGTTACAGGGCGGTGTGCGGTTGACCATCTTCCTTACCCAGTTACTGCTGAGCCTGTGTCCTGCTGTTTATGAATCCCCCAAAGATCATAAACAGGGGCACTGACTCCGTTCCACCTTCATTAGAGGCTTCTGAAAATATACAGAGTTCCTCACAGTAGGACTTTCTCTAGTAATAATAGCAGATGATGCCACAAGAAAGTTCACTTTTCTTTTTCAGAAAGGAAGAAAAAGTGGGAGAAAATGTAAACTAAGTTAGTGTAGCTTAATATTGTAAGTTTCTCAAGGATAAAATCAACTGAAGTTAAATAAAATCAATTTTTTAAAGTTACGTATAAGATATAATATTTCATACCATGAGCCATCACAGTGAGTAATTTTAAAACTTGAATATTTTGCCAGATGTCGCTGAAGAAAAGTGACCAGAATGCTTTTGCTCTTGTCTTTCCGTGTTTCGGTGACCGAAAAGAATCCGCTCATGGCCAATCCATGTCTCATCTGGCTGCCCACGAGCAGCAATGTCAGGCACTTTGGGATGTTTCTTATGACATTTTATCCCCGATTTCCTAAAATATTATCTTTTAAAATGGCATTTTTGTTTGGCGTTTTCTGTAATGTACTGAGGAAATACTCTGTAGGGTGAGCTTTGGGTGTAACTTAGCCCCGTCATTATTTATAGAAGAGAGAAAGAGAAAGGATTTTAAAATAAAATACTATCTATATCCTGGTATTTCTCAATTCTTCAATTTTAAATATGGTTTATTTTCTTCTCATTAGACTAGTAGTTCAACACATAGATCTTGCCATTCTTTTTTCCCTCCTTCTTTTAGTAAAATAATGTTGATTTTTCCACTCTTTAGAGTAGTGTACTATATTGTGAATCAGGAAATCTTGGTTAAATGTGATTTTTTTTTTTTTTTTTTTTTTTTGGTACCAGGGATCGAACTCAGGTCCTTGCGCTTGCATAGCAGGCATCAAAACCACTGAGCTAAATCCCCGGCCCGTGAATCAGGAAATCTTGTTCACTGCTGAGTCAAATAGTCTTTTTCCTCATGACTTTTTGTTTTTCCTGGGGTCTGTACACCTGCGTGCAAAATGTGTTTGTTGACTGAGCTCCCTTTTGAATGAACAAAAAATTGTGCCAGATTTTCTTTGTAAAGATACAATATGTTTTCTAAAATACCATCTTAATCTTAAAATTGTCAGTAATATATAGGAGGTTTCTACAGAGGGTCCAAACTGTGCTTCTGGGTAAACAGGGTATCCATTGCTATACTTTGATCTATAGTAGTCTATTTTCTTTAGAAATTTAAATGAATTCAGCATTGTTGCTAAGTTGCTTTTACATATGAATATGTTTATAGTGGAATAATGTCTGTCATAAATTTTATATTTCTCTTTTGTATTTATAAAATTTTCAAGTACTTCATATTGTATGTTAATATATCTCCTCCCTCCCTTGTTGCTCTTTGTTAGGCATTTGGTTTCATTTCAAAATAACATCTGGCAAGAGAAACTTACTTAACTATAGAAGGTGGGGTTTCTTTTCTTCATTAATATGCTGCAGACCGAAGTCATAAAAATTATAGATGATGAAATGAAATTCTAGAAACTTTAATAAAACTGTCGTTTAATTTGCGTTTCCAGAGTATAAATATTGAGGAGGATCAGTATTTATTCTGTGTATATTTACATAATTCAGTAGTATATTTTTAAATACTTTTGCTCCTTAGTAGAGAGAATGTAATGATTATATCTTTTCTTAATAATGAAGCTAATTTTATATCTAAAACGTAAATCTCCAGTTTGTCTACTAGCCTAGTTTGTAAATGCTGTCACATTTATCGAGTCCAGGATGTGTTAATCTGGGAGAGATTACTCCAGTTACAGACTGGGGTGTCAGCCTAGATGAAAACTAGAAATGATATGGTGTCACCCAGACGTAGTAGCGTCCAAGAAAACATTCTTTGTGGTGACACCTGAGAAAAATTTAGAAGGAACCTTTTGATCTGGGGTGATGGAAAGGCTTTTGGAAGCTCTATTGCTATACAGTAAAGTCCTACTTAGGGTCAGTGGTTCCTGATTCTAAGTGCACATCATAACCACATAGAAGTTTAGTAAATGGCATAGAGATCGTAGATTGAATAGAACTCAAGTGAGCTTTGCTGTTGTTGTTGTTGTTGTCGTTGTTATTTTTGTTTTGTTGTGTTTTTTTGAGGCAAGGTCTCACCATGTAGCCCAGGCTGCCCTTGAACTCCTGGTGATCCTCCTTCCTCGGCCTCCCAGGTGCTGTGATTACAGGCGTGTGCCATCATGCCCGGCTTCCTCTTGAGTTCCCCCCCTCCTCTTTGCAGTATTCTCAGGTTCTTCTGGTGTGTATCCAGGGTGGAGGACCATTTCCCTTGATAGGGTTGAGTCCATTTACCACAGGCAGAGAGCTAACTTCCATTAAATTTAATTGCTAATTTACGATAAAGGGAGCATGAGTTATGTGAACATTGATTCCTGTGTAAAAGAAAAGGAATTCAGGGATAGCAAGATCAGAAAACATGGGGCTTCATGTTACTAGTAAAACAGAAATGATGACTGACTATGGTTAGTCGAAAATTAGAATGCTTGAAACTTCCAGTGTACATTATGAGCACTCTTTTTTTGTGGGGCGGGGATCAAACTCAGGACCTTGTGCTTGTGAGGCAGGCAGCAGAACCACTGAGCTAAATCCCCGGCCCCTATGATCACTCATTTATTGGTGGCATTGATACCATAAATTTATATTTTCAGAAAATTACAAATATCATTCTCATTATTTGAACATTTATTTTTAGGGGTTTATTTGTTTCATTTTCATTGTTATTTAGTGCACGTTTGCAGCACACAGTAATTACATTCATCGTGAGGAGTTGGTAAATATACAGATACATCTTAATCCACTCATCTCTTTGTCCCCTTCCCTTTTGAAAGAGGTCTGTCTGCCTTGAGCATTATTATTCATCAGAGGAAGGGAAAGGTTATAAATGAGTTAACTTTCTTTAACTGCTGTGTATATTTAATGTATGTGAATGATGAATCTTTTCCTTTCCCATTCTTGAATTCTAGGCCTAGTTACCCCTCCTAACTAGCTTTGTGGCTGTCAGCTAGCCAGCTACTCTCTGTGAGTCTTTTCTCCTCTTTAGGATAATGTAAATGATCACTTCTAGTTGTGGCATTCTATGGTTTCAAGTCTAGGAACATGATTTCTAAGCTTGAGAAAGTGGATGCGTTGCAGAGGACATTACTTTGAGTCCATTAATATGTACTATTAATAAAGGCATACTGTTTGAACATTGTTTAGCCAGTTTCCTGGTAGTGGCAGTCTGGCTATTTCTCATTGCTTTTTACTATAAACAGTGAGTTATTGAGATGTCCAACTCCAAGATAATGTATTATAATGTTGATTGCTATTGCCAAACAGCTCTCCAGAAATAGCCCCCGTTAACACCTCTCATGATAGTCTATGAAAATGGCCATTTATTTTCATATTTTCCAGCTGTAAAGATCACCAGAAATGGGAATATTTTTGGTATACTGGAGAATTGCTGCATCCTGTAGTTTTAATTCATAGTTTTAAGCAAAATTGTCTCTTCACGTGTTTATGAGCTCTTTATTTTCTTGATATTGAACAATCCATATCTCTTTCCAGACTTTCTTTCGGGGCTTTCATCTTGTTCTGTTGATACATGTTGTTTTAATAAATTAAGGAAGAAAGTGCTTTGTTACCTGTGTGGCAAGGTGGTTTTTTTGGAGGTCTTGTGGGCCTTGCGTCTTGCTTGTGGTCATTTTTGCCACTTCGAAGTTTTAAATTTGTATGTAGTCCAGTGGATCAGTCTTGCATTTTATGGCTGTTGAACTTGGTGACTTGCTCTTGCTCTGTCACTCAGCTTTTAATGTTTAAATTTGTTATCCATCTGCATCTGTTGTCTGGTGAAGAGTGGAGATTCATAGACTTTAAAGAAAGAAACCTCACTTGCAAACTTGACTGAACAGTAAAATGTAAAAAGAGCTTCAGTGTGTGCTTTCATCGCAGAGGTTATGTGGCTGGTGCTAGTGATGATGACTGAAGGACCAGCTGTCTTTTCCCCAGGAAAGGCGGTGACCCGTCTCTGAGAGGTGTTTAAGTTATTCACGAGAATGATACTCAGCAATGCATTTGGTGGAGGAACATTTTATAATTTGGATGTTTTTAGTAGAATGTTGAATTGTTTTTAAACCTCACTTTAGTGCTTGAAAGGTCTCCCTCTGCTGTCCCTCCACCCTTGCCATCCATGCCCTCCTCTTCCCTTTTCTGATCTTTAAACCACTCCAGCCGTATGCCCTGGCGGTTTGATGTTGAGCCTACAAAGATGTGACAACAGTTCCTGTACCCAAGTTGCTCATAGTGTTGAAAGATAAGCATCAAGTGCCTGTAGCCCTGGTGCCCCACAAGTGCCTGTGGCGAGACATTTATTGATATGTTGATTATAATATGTTGAAGATATTCAAAAGGACCTTTTATCTCCTACTGGGAGTGATGTGTAATTGATTTATTGGCTAGTAAATTTCCTGTATGTTTTTGAAGAATATTATAGTAATGACTGTGCCCTGGGCGGCACTTTTACTGTAGAACGTTTTGTGACTGTTCGTATCCTCCTGCTCTCCAGGTTCACTTTGATGGCTGGAGCAGTACCTATGACTACTGGATAGATGCCGATTCTCCTGATATTCACCCAGTGGGCTGGTGTTCCAAAACTGGACATGCGCTTCAGCCTCCTTTGAGTAAGAGATGGGAGGATAACTTGACAGCTCTTCCACTTTCTAGTGTAGCATACTTAATATCCTTCACTACCTTCCCTTCTCTTTCTTTATTTCTGTCTACTGTATATTTTTTCTCAAGGTCATCCTTTTTGATATATGTTTAATTACCATAGTCATAAAAACATAAAAGAAACAATCTACTACCTGAAAAAGTCATGTATAGACCTTCTGCTTTCACTTAGAAGTGAACATTGCCTTTTAAAATTAGTATGGAATCTTTGGAAGGCAACTTGGCAGACTATCAAAATTGTATCAGTGCTGGTAACTTACTAATAACTTTATACAGTAGCTTTGGAAAATGTTATCATTGGGAGACATTGGGAAAAGAGTGAAAGAAATCTTCCTCTATATTGTTCCCCTGCAACTGCATGTGAATCTAGTTATCTCAAAAAAAAAAAAAAAATCACCTAAACTCTGTTTTCAAAAAAGACACAGAACTTAACATAGCATGAATCTTAATTTTGGAGAATATTTACATTATAACATATATACTATCAGGAAAAATATATAGTTAGTTTTTTTAAAATTCTAGTGTGCTTTATTTAGTGACTTCACTCTGGGTGCATATAAACCACATAAGGGCAAATAAATCTGCACAGTATCCAGGGTACTCATGCAGCTTGTCTAAAATAACAAAACCTAGAAACAATATTGGTTAAATAAATTGTGGTGCACCATACTATAGACACTATACAGAAGTCATAAAGAATATTAATGTTGCCCCAGAAAGATTTATCAGACAAGTTTCTAAACAGTGCACATCTGTGTTGTACCTTTCACATGGCAAAATAAAATAAAACCTAAAACCGACGTGTGTGACTGTACAAATGCAGGCCTGTACTTGAGTGCTTACACACATCCAGAAGGGAGAGTCCACCTGCACCTGTGTCCTCAGAAGAGGGAGAGTGTAGGTGTAGACCAGAGGGCCGGAGGGGGCTTTGCACCTGTTATGCTGTACTGGGCTGTGTAGTGTTTCACAGTATGTGGGGCGGTTTTACGGTACCAGGGATGAACCAGGACCAGCAGTATGAGATCCAGCCACTCAACCACTGAGCTACATCCCGTCCCTGAGTATTCCCAGGTAAGTTAAGTTAGTAACTCTATAAATTTCTTTGAAATTCATAAGGCAGATTTGGGTACCTGTAATTTGTGACAATTTTTAAGAAGTTAGATCAAAATTTATCATTTCAATGCTGCAGTAATATAAATTGTGTGAATGAAATCAGAGAAGAAAACCTTCAAACGTAGTGATTTTTAGGATAGTTTTAATTTTATTTTTTAAAATTTTATTAGTATGTGTTTGCAGTACATAATGATGACATTCATCATAGGGGATTGATACATGAACATAACACCTCTTAATTCCTTTTACTTTCCTCTTCTCTCCCCTCCTCTCCCCTCCCTCCATGTCTTGGACCCCTTCCTGTTTGTAAGTCTATCTCCCTATTCCCTGTTATCTGTTTGTTTTTCCTGTTTGGGTTCATTCAAAAATTGCATGACATTTCTTCTCTTTTTCATAGGTGCCGCAGAATTAATGGAAGCTTCTGATCAAGGTGGGTGCCCAACCCTTGGCTGTAAAGGGATCGGCCATTTCAAGAGATCAAGGCACCTGAGCCCTCAGAGGTAAGTGGTCCCCAGGACTCCCATAGGGATGCCTCACAGGGTCATTAGCTGGTACCTGCCCCACAGATGTTCAAGATGATTTCCTTGGCTACTGAACAGATGTGAACTAATTTTAAACTTGGATCCATAAGCAATAGTGTTGCCATGGTGACCATGAAAAAATAAAGGATATATTTAAAGTTAAATCTTCCTGAGAGAAAAATGCTTTTGTGGCTTAAAATAGACTTATTTACTTTAGTTAGTTGGCTTTTCCTGGTAACCTGACTCGTTTTCCAGATACATGGCTTCTGAAAGAGTATGGGTTGACCATTACCAGGATAATGAGAAGTGGATAGACTCTCTTGAGATTATTTAGTAAAATATTGTGACTGGGGGACTTGACAGATTGAATGATAAAAGGCATTATTGCAGATTAGTAGTGACGATCACAAAAAAGCACAAATACAGTCAACAGTGAGAATGTAAGGGTCAGAAAACCATTTTTTCACATATTTTCTCTACCCCTCCTAAATAAATTCGAAAGGAAACCAAGGGAACTTGGGAATTTTTGTAGACATTTAAAAAATATTACTAAAATACCAGTAAATTCCTGTGATTTCTCTGAGATGTTAAAGGAACAACATGCCGCCTTTGGGTATGTATTCAAGTAACAGTTTGTCTCTGTAAGTGTGATAAATGCATGTTAATTGGATTGCCAGTAAGAAAAGTGATTTTTCATCTATCTAGTTTGTGTAAGTTATGAATCCAGGTCTTTAAGATTCTGAAATTGCGCCACCTAATGCTCAAGAGTTAACAGAAATTGCAGCACCGGTGTAATTAATGTAATCTGGATATAGTTTCCTCTTTCATCTTTCACCCTCAGATCCTGCTTATCTTCCTTTAGCAACACTCCTCTGTGATTTTTTTTTAATGAAGTTTGGTATATTCCAGAAGAAAAAAATCTGAGCGTAGACAGGATGATGATTCCATTTGCAAATATCCATTTTAAAATCCTTTTCTTTGCCTGCATGGGCTGTGAACTAGAAGATATATGAAAAGAGAGCTGAGTTGGAAATACATTTTAGAAGTTGTGAAATATTGCCTTGTCAAGGCAGCCTGGTTATTTTTCAGAAGCTGTATAGGCCTAAATGCTAGAAATAATTCAACAGCCTGGTAAATATCCATTGTACACTCAGAATTTCTTTCATCTGATAAATATTTTTGAGCAGCAGTTCTTCAGTGAGGATGAATATTTGAGCGCTTATTTACTCTATGCAAGGAATTGCTATAATTGTTTTATAGATAGTTTTCAGAATAACGCTGCAGTTTAGAAACTATTATTTCCCCACAATGCTGAGAGACGTGTTAGCTTGCCTTAGATAGCAGCTGGTGGACGGAGACCAGTGCAACCTCAAGAATCTGGTTTTTTTTTCAGCACTTGGGATTAAACCCAAGGCCTTCACAATGAGCTATCTCCCCACCCCTACCCTCTTTTTTCATTTTTAATTTGGAGACAGGGTCTCACTAAGTTGTCCAGTCTGGACTCCAACTTGCTTATCCCCCTGTATCGTTTGCAAGAGCGCTGGGAAGACAGGCTTCCGCCACCACGCCCAGCTGGGGCTCTGGATTCCTTTTTTTTTTTTTTGGTACCTGGGATCGAACTCGGAACCTTGCACTTTGGAGGCAGGCAGTGGAACCACTGAGCTAAATCCCCGCCCTGTCTGGATTCTTGATGAGTCCCCTCCACCCACCTCTCAAGACACTGCCCCACGAATGAATCACAGATGTTATGCAGTAATGAAACTATAAAAGCTATGCATTAATTACAGTTTAAGATACAAAATCACTAATATTGAAACTTTGGCACATTTACCTTCCTACTACTGTGCAATCCCGTGACATTCGTTGGACTAAAGGCAGTTTGTTCAAATTGTGGAGAAAAAGAATAAAGAAACAAAAACATACATGACAACTAACAGCATGTGGCTGGGATGCAACTGAATATTTAAAGTTTTAATTTGGTCTTCTGGAAGCAAAGCACCTTCCAGCCATGTCCGGAGACTCCTCAGGAGAGCTTTAGTCCGTGTGGGGGAGTTTGCGGGCGACAGCCAGTCTGGGGTAACGGCCCTGTCGGCGCCCAATGGCCCCGTGCCCCCGGTGCAGGGGAACCTGGAGGCTCCCTCACCTCCGCTGCCTGTGTTCCCTAAGTCTCATTGTTTATCTTTGGGGCATTTTGTCACAGACGCAGCGCTGTGCTGGTTAAGAGAAGGGAGACATTTTGCCAAGATTCTTGGAAGAGTTTATGGAGAGGTGTGGTAACGAACTGTTTCTTGAAGGAAACAGAAATGCACCCTGTGACTGAGAAAGCAAGCGCCTGGGAGAAGCTGCATCCGCCTCGCCACCCACAGGGGGAGCCGAGTGGGGCAGGCCTTTGAACGGGACTCCCGTCCTGTTGGGGACACTCACTGCCCTCAGTATTGATCCTTAGCAGGCACAGCCTGTGTCCCACTCCGTTAGTGCCCTGTGGGAGAGCTGCTCATCGGGGACAGTCTTTGAAAGGTTCATTTCACTGGCACGTATTTCTGTCCTTGCTAAGACATACTGTGTCTAGGGAACCGTAATGGGGGAAATTCTCTTCGGATTAATTTACTGAGACACTGCCTAAATCGAAACTCGAATTCTCTGCTAAGATAACAAAGAAAGTTGCTCCTTTAGCAAGAATCGTCCGTTTCGTGAACACATAAGCAGAAGACTGTTTGGGCTAGCATTTGTTGTGAGCGTCTGTAAGGGTTACAGATCGAATTTGGTCTAAGAAGCGTTAGAAACGGAGCTTGCATTTCAGGAATGAAGCCCGAGAAGGTGGCCCTGTTTTCTCTTAGATTCTAAGACAGCCGTGATAGCCAGAGTCCGCGTGGGCGTGGGTGCGGCAGTCTCCTCTGGCAAGGGAGCTTTCCCACCGCTGTGTCGTGCGTTTCCCTTGGTCAGTGCATCCCTTTGGACGACCAAGAAATCAGCAGTATGAAGGGCTTGCGGGGGAGCTAAAGTTAGATGAAAGTAGACATTCTACCTGCCTAATGCCAATAGAAGTATTTCTTCTATCTTTTCTGTGTACAGTTTGATCTTGGAGAAATTTAAAAAGGTGACAAAAGAGTATTTCCAATACCCCTGAAGCGTGTTTCCGAAATCCGTGGAATAGTTTAAAATTTACAAGTGCAGACTGTGGGCCTCATTAATTCCCCATCCACTGTGCATGGGGTGCAGACCGTGAGAGCCCACTTAGTGTCCCGCCTGCAGGAGGCGGCACACGGAGGACAGAGTTCCCACATCTCGGGGGGTGTGGTGGGCTCTCATGGGGGTGAGTGGAGCAGCACTCGGAGAACCAATAGAGGTCAACCACCTCCCCCGCTCCTCTCGATACTGGGGATTAAACCCAGGGCATTTGCACTGAGCTACACTCTCATTCTTTAATTTTTTTTTATTCTAAGACAGGGTCTTGTTAAGTCACTAAGTTGCCCAGTCTGGTTTGAACTTAGCAATCCTCCTGCCTCAGCCTCACAGCTGAGAATTGTGGTTGTATTATTACTTTCAGTTGAGAGTTTGAAATTCCTCCCTTGCTCAGGCAGTTTAGGGGGAAAAAAAGATATATTCCAATCAGAATATACTGAATTTATGTTTTGTAGATGGAATGTATATGTGTTCGTATGAATGTTTTAATCACGTATTACACATACAGAAATATACATAGCATGTACTCGGTTCAATTTTGGAATTTCATGTTCTGTAGCCCATCATTTTCGCTGAGAGTAGTAGTTACGGCCTAATGCAGACGTCCTTTTCTTTTTCTCTTAATTCATTAGTGCTGCCAGCTGTCCCTATTCAGATATCAATTTGAATAAAGACCGCATTTTCCCAGATCGCTTAAGTGGTGAGATGCCTCCAACCAGTCCATCATTTCCAAGAAATAAAAGGACGGACACAAATGAAAGCTCTTCGTCTCCTGAAATCAGGTAACGGAAGTGAGAACCTTCCCGTTGTTTAGAAACACTGTGATGGAAGAGTTTGTCTGTCTTCACTGTTTGTGCTCTGTGGCCATGTTCATGTGCATTGTTGAAAATGCATTTGACTCGATGTAAAATGATGATGGAGATCATTATCTGAAAGCCTTACCATCCATCCTGACTTATGTTTTTCCAAGAAACCCAGAGCCTTTCTGCTTTCTTGTCAGTCTCCTACAAACAGCAAAACTGACTGTGGCCATGTGCATCTGTAGTCCCAGCTACTTGGGAGGCTGAGGCAGGAGAATCACATTGCTGGAGCCTGGGAGTTCAAGGCCAGCCTGGAAAACATAATGAAAGCTAGTCTCACCAAAAATAAGAGTTTAACTTTAACTTGAGTATAATCCAGGGCTGGAAATGATGTCTTGAGGAGGTTTAAAAAAGTCTTCTACTTGTTTCCCAGTACTGTCCATAGCTTTCTTTCAGGAAAATCCTCAGCATGTGACGTAGATGACAGTACTACATTTGTAGATGTGTATGTGTTTGTGTGTTAGTAATTTCAGAGTTCTCACTGTGACTTGTAGGAGGATGCTGACAGAGCAGCAGGGGTGAGTCACAGTGTAGGACTCCACTTGTCATAGTGGAGGGAAGACTTATCCCACTCCATAGAAACCCTGGACCTTGTTCTTGAGGGTTCAGAGTCAGAAACTCTGCAACTCACTGAGTGGCTTTCACAGGCTCTTGACTCTCACTGTCCTCATCAAAGATATCGCATGAATATGCAGGAGATGTAAGAGGGCTGCCGTGCAGACTCCACTGCAGCTCTGTGGGACTCTGCTCTTCCCATGTCTTCCCACGGAACCAAGAAACAGGGAGTCAGTTCTGCCTGGGACAAATCAGCAGGGCACCACAGGGTCAGAATAAAAAGATGAAAAAGGAAAAAAAAAAGATGAAGAGGATTAGGAGCATTCTGTTTTATTAAAAAGAATCCTGTCCCCTAAAGCCCAGAGTTAGTAAGTAATCTCAGATTCATTAAAAGCTTCTATAATTCCTGGTGGAAAAGTAAAACTCTAAAACTGAATTATTACTGACATTAAAAAAACATTTATCGAGCATTTTTGGTGTTATTCAGGGATGGTTCTTGTTTCTCGTAGAAACTTTCCTCCAGTGTCATTTTCTGGAAAGTAGGCTGGCAGAGATTCAGACCTTATCTGTTTTGTACTTCCCTGGGCTTAAAGATACGCAGCTGGTGAGAGACACAAACAGTGGATGTAAAAAACAGGTACATCCCAACTTCTTTACCCCATGCGACTTGGACACTTTGCTTTGTGTCATCCTTGAGGCATGGCCATCTGGTCTCTTAAAGTGAGGCTTAAGATTAGATACTCCTCTCCCACAGACCCATGGAGCTCATGGGGAAGGAAGTAGTTTAGGTCTAGCCTGACAGGAGCACCCATGGGATTTTCCTTTCCTCCATAGAGGAGCAGCACCACGTGCTGAGTAAACTCTGCCTGGTTTTGCCTCTCAGCTTTCCTGCCTGCCAGGTATGTGACCTGTGATGATGCAGGAGCTCTTTGCTTTGAATCTCACGGTTTATCAGGATTATGTGCAATGAAGAGTTAAGTTAATATAAAGCTCTTAGCATAGTGACTAATAAGTAATAATCCCTTAAGAAATGTTACTTCTATTAATGTTATTAAAAGAAGAATGGGTTACTTATTTTTTTCATAGTATAGATTGAGTATCCCTTATTCACAGCACCTGGGACCAGGAGTGTTTCAGATTTGGGACTTTTTGGATGTAGGAGTGTTTTTATAGTCTTTAACCATTGAACATCCCTAATATGAAATGGTCCAAAATCCCTCAGAAAGTTTCCAATTTTGTAGCATTTTGGATCCGGGGTGTTTGGGTTAGGGATGCTCAGCCTGTTTTCCTTCTCTTTTTAGGAGCAAAACAGTGAATAGCTGATATCCTTGATATTCCTGGGTTAAACATTCAGTGAATTGCTGAAATAAGATAATGCTCATAATACCATATCACATTCTCGCCTTTACTCACTGTTCACCCGAATGTGATTTCCCACTCAGGTTTTCATGTGATTTCTTTCCTTCATCTTTAATTTACTAAATTTGGTTGCCAGTCTCTCCTTTTTTTTTTGCTTTTAATGCACTTGGGGACAGCGAGAGAGACAATTTGCTCTCCCAGAAACAAACACAGAGGAGAGGAGGTGACCACACGTGGCTTCAGTGACTGGGAGATGAGGACATCAGAGGGGAACGAGGCAGGGAGGTGCCCGAGGAAGCCCTGCTGCCTGGAGCCGGGCTGGGGGTGGGGTGGAGGGACCAGCACAGGTGCACCAGGTGAGCCTCAGGCCAGGGACATGGCAGGGCTCTGGAGTGTTCTGCACCACCCCCTGACCTGGGCCAACCCCTCTCCCAAATGCCAGGTAGTCCCCGGAGTGAGGGGCGGGCTGGTCTCACCTGTGGTCCAGGAGCTGATGTAGCATGGCCAAGAATAAAAGAGCAACGCAAGGAGCATGTGTGTCCCTCTTACACTGCAGCAATATTGAAGGGCCCCCTCAAGAGACTGCCAGGGGCAACTCGTGTCCAGGTAGTTGTTCCCAGTGTGGCTTCCAGTCATCTCCTCTGCAGCTGCTTTATACTTCATACTCGGGGGCCTGAGCTCACCCCCAGAATCTTTCAAGAGACCTGTGCAGTCTGCATTTGAAAGTTCGTTTGAGTTGTATCACCCCACTTAACACTTCCAGGGCCATCCTGTTACTTAGGATGAAGACCCTGTTTCTCTTTTTTCTTTTTCACTTGTATCTGTTTAGTGGTACATTTTAGATATACATGAGGATCACATTCATCATAGGGAGTTTGCACCTGTGCATGATACATCTTGCTTCTTTTTTTCCCTCCCCTCCCTTCAACCCCTCTTCCCCTCCTTATTTTCAATGGCTTTGTTTCCATCTTTTCCTTCCATTCTCTTTTTCTCTTGTCCTTTCCTTCCTTTCCCACTCCCCCTTCTCTTGATGCTCTTCTCATGTAAATATTTTCTTCCCATTTCCCAATATCCATTATATGTTTTTGTCCTTATTTATACTTCCGGTTTCTCACACCAGAGAGATACTGCGGTATTTAGACATGTGTGTCTGACTTATTTCACTTAGGAATATGGTCTCAAGGTGCATCCATTTAGCTATAAATGTCTCAAGCTTATCGTTTGTTATGGCAGTGTAGTACTCCATTATAGAAAAACCACATCTTCTTTATCCACTCATCAGTTAATGGGCACTTGGGCTGTTTCCAGGGTTTAGCTGTTACAAACTGTGCTGCTATAAACATGGGTATGCATATATTGCTGTGGTATAATGTTTTTAATTCTTTCAGGAAGATACCAAGAACAGTAATAGATGGATCAAATGGAACCTCTAGTTTTAGTTTTTTGAGAAATCTCCATACTGATTTCCACAGTGGTTACACCAGTCTGCACTCCCACCAACAAAGGAGAAGGGTTCCTTTCTCCCCACACCCCTGCCAGCATTTCTTATTGGTTGATTTCCTTTTTGGGGGGGGGGTACTGGGGATCAAACTTGAGACCTTGCGTTTGCCAGACAGGCGCTGGAACCACTGAACTAAATCCCCAGCAGCTGATTTCATGATAGCAGCCATTCTTTCTGGAGTGAAGTGGAATCTCAGTGTTGTTTTCATCTGTATCTCTTGAGTGACCAGTGATGGTGAACATTTTTTCATGTATTTATTTTCCATTTCTACTTCTTCCTCTGAGAAATGTCTGTTCATTTCAGATGCCCATTTTTGGACTGTCTCTAAGTTTGAGGGTCTGCTTTTTTGAGTTCTTTGTATATTCTAGGTAGTAGTCCTTTAAGACCCTGATTCCTATGTGGCCAGTGGCCCGGGTTGTCTGGTCCCTGTCTGTTTCTCCAGCCTTGTCTCTGCCAGTCTCCTGTCAGCCAAGTGCCTCAGCCTGCCTGTCCTCGGCACCCTCTCCCCTCTGCCTGGGACCTTTGTCTGTCTTCTCACTAGCCTCTCATCTCCCGCTGTCTTTTCCTCAGCAAGGCTTTGTGTGGTTTCACGAGGTTCCTCTGTACCTGCTTCAGATGCTGGCGGGGGCATCAGTCTTCCGTTATTCCAGTCGTGTAGCCTTAGAGCTGTGTGGCCTTTTTCTTCACTTAAAACTCCCGTATTTTTATGGGCCAGAGTTGTATCAGAGTCGTAGGACTCTTGCCTAGCATTTGTGAGGTCCTGGATTTAGTTCCTGGTACCTCGAAACAAAACAAAAACATCTACATTTTCAGCTTCGTAAGATCACCACACCAGATATTGAAGAAATGATTATTAAGCGGTGAGACCCACTCCCCAAATGCATAGCTGGACTTTCATGTGACTTCAGGTGATACCTAAGTTATAAAGAACAACTTCCCTCTCTGTTGTTCTTGAACTCCCTGGCCCATGTAGATAATGAACACTTTGCACCCAGATAATCGGGGGTGCTTCTTTAAAATGTAGCTTTGAGGGCACTGCTCCCAGGAACACTGAACCTGGAAGCACAGATGCACCCACAAATCCTCACGTCAGCACCAGGTGACGCATGCTGAACGACCCATATGCCAGGCTTTGGGAATCGAGGCCAATGGTGAGCACCCATCCAGAGTGTCCCATCAATAGGGAAGCATCGGGCATCCACCCTACCGAGTCTTATTCCCACCCATCTGTCTTACAGCTGCTTGTAATTGTGTTCTAAATTAGATGTTATCTCTGTTAGAAGTCATGTACAGTTCTAAGCTCCCGTGTTGTTATAGGCTGCTTAGACATAGCCACAGGAACGCAAAACATCTTTAAAGTGCCTGGCAAATGCTTATGAGGCAAATGCCCACTGCTCGGCCAATCTAATGAAAAATTCCAGTGTGTTAGTTCATTATAGGCCATTAAATGTCTTCTCAGTCCTAGGACCTGTGTTTCTGCCCTTCAATCTGATACGTATTTTTCACA